TTATATATATACACTCTATATAATATATATATATATATATATATATATATATATATATATATATATATATGTATGTATGTATAATAAATTGTAATATTTTAATTTATTTTAATGTATTTATTTATTTAAAAAAAAAAAATTTCGCTGAAATATTCCATCACATTTTATATCCAGTTGCAGTTTAAAATTATATTGACAGATCTTTCCCAATGTTATTTTGGACTTGGTTCAAATGTGCTGTGTGTGTGTTGTCTTTCAAACTGGCCTGAATATTCCAGTAGCCAATAGAGCAGAAGTCATTCTGAAAAGCAAAGAGACAAAAAATAAATAAACATAATTATTTATTAATAATTTAAGAAATATGAATAAAATTTTAATAAAAGCCGCTCTTTTGGCCACACTGTTTGTAATAATAATATGTGATGTCTAAATATGTGTAAATATGGCAGCGGGTTAAAAATGTAACCCCTAAGTTAGTTTTTAATTATACATCAATAGATATATTGTTCCAAACGTGTTTCAGATCGTTTTTAGCTGTCAAGCATACATTGATAATGTGATGAAAATATTTTACAAGAAAATACGATTTCTGTCTTTTTTTTTCTTAAACATTTTACATTTAATTCAATGCGAGTGAAAATTGTTTCTTCACCAAATTGTTCAGAGTGTGTGAACTTGAATAGAATTGACTTGCATCCACTAAAAATCACCTTTACACCAGCTGGATAAAAGTAATAAAAATGGATGGGACTTAAGCATTTAAATTCATACATTTTTAAGTGTGACTTTCATGTTGAGATCTTTTTTTTTGGCTGCTGTCCCTGTGTTTGTATTGCCAAGGAAGGAAATGACAAATCCCATGTTAACAACCCAGGCTTTTAGTAAACAGTGCAGATGAACGTTGCCCTTGTTTGATCAGAAGTGCACTGCAGAGGGCTTCTTTTTAAAGCACTGTTAGGCAGGATGTGTTTTCTCTGCTCCTAAATGGCAACGGTCTGATTGTCTCTGTAGTGTGTTGTTCAGTATCAGTGCTGTGCTCAGTTTTCACTGTGCCGTGTGCGCTTTGTGTCCCGTAAGATGCTTGTAAAGGTCAGAGCAGCAGGAGTTTCTGAAAGTTCAGCGTGTTGAACAGACGAACCCCTGACTGTTGATCTGCTGCTGTTTGGACTCTATGGTTTTTAACAGAATCGCTGTTCTTTGTCTGCATCCTTACAGCATTTGTGTTTCAGCATGAAGACAAACTAAACTCAACAAAACATGTTTGAACATATTTCTTTTTTTTATTATTAATATATCATTTTAATTTTTTTAAATGTATATTACCATTTATTTAATTTATTAATTAATTAATACATTTTTTAATATATATATATATATATATATT